AATTTGGCATATGCAATACTTATAGCATAATTTACATTGCTTATTTATATCAATGATATATAATAAAAAATTTTAAATGTAAAATAAAAATGTTTTGTAATTATCATTTAAAAGCATTGTTTTAATAATGAATAATTAATCTTTTAAATTTACTAATTTTCTATGAAAAATGATTTTTTAGAAGATGAATAATTTGTATGTAATAATATTAATTTCATATAACAAGAGTTATCCAAGTAAGTAACAAATAATTCTATTGTATGTTTATTAAATGCACCATAAATTCAAAACATATATAATCTATATGAAACTGTTTTCCACAAAATATAGATAAATTGCATACTTGATTCTTGAAAAATATTATATGCATAAATAATTTTAATTTAAAAATAATTAATCAAAATGTAATCCTGAATATATAATGATCCACGTGACCTATGAATAAAAATATAATATAATATAAAATTATGATTTTAAAGAGCTTAAAACAAATAAAATTAAATAACTTCAAATTACCAAAAAACCAGCAAATGATGTCATAAAACCTTCTTTAGTTAATTCCCATATACCACCAAATTCTTCTTCGTCAATTTGTTGAAAATTACTAAAATACAGGTATGTAACACCTGCATTAACTAATACAAATCTAGAATATAAACCATATAATATATATATATAATGTATATATATGTATATATATTATGTAAATATATATAGATCTACATAAAACTATTTTAACTTACAATAGTAGGGCTATAAAACCTTTTAAAGGTATAAGACCCCATCCTATACCAACTATAATACCAATTGCTTGTCTAGCCCAATATATAACATCCAAAAATTCTTCCTATAATAATTAAATTGATAAATGAGTGAATAAAAATAAACGAAAAACATAATTAATCAAAGTGTGGTTATGTTTACTTTATCTGGCCATTCGGAATTAGCTGTTATCGCACGTGTCCATACACTTAATTCACATTTATTACCATTTCCAATCTTTTCAGATTTTGATCGTGACATTTCTACACCTTCTCAACTTAACAATATAAACCATATAACAAAACTCATTAACATTTCCTAAGTAAAATGAATTCCATGTACTTTTATTTCCTTAAACGTTCCACTACTATACTTCCATCTCTTGAATTATGGAAATGCCAGATTTCATACAATTTTTCACGCACGCGCATTAACTTACTATATTTTATAATAATTTGTTATATTTCTTTGAATGTTAAGTACATTTTTAATATAATTTGATGCTTAATATTTTAAAGCGTTATCAACAACCTGTAAAATTATTAATTTTTCTAATTTATGTATTTTATATATTCAACTTAAAAATGATTTTAAGTATGTATTATGTATATAATTATTTTAAAATTATGTATTTAATTTCAATATATTTTGATTTTATAATAAGTATATCAATGAATATTTTTTTAAATTTTTCATATAAATATTATTTTATTGAATAAAAAAAATTATATTCTTATTATAACAAATAATTATATTTTTAAAATTAATTAAAAAATTAATTATATAAAATTATATAAATATACAAAACTATTAATATATAAAATAAAAAGAATAATCAATATGCTATGTATGTATGGTCTTTATTTACTAGTGTGTTATATTGCATGATTAGTAATCATATCAAAATCTGCAATTATTAAATTATTGATAATATATGTTATAATTATTATATATATAATACAATCAATAACAGATTTTGAATATGCTTAATTGCAATATATATATACATAAATGTAAATACAGGAATGTAATGAAGAAAAAATGTATGTGTAATTTTTTTTCGCGCATATATATATATGTATATGAATGTGTGAATATCACTCATTCTAACATATATACAGAGTAATTGCATTTAATATATTTCCACACTAAAATATAGTTTATTACAGGTAATCTTTTTGGTATAATAATAATTGGTGTAAAAAAAAAAATTATATATTAAATTTTAAAGAGTAACTTTTATATAAATATCTTAAAAATTGAACGAGTTTTGATAAGTATATAAAATGATTCTGTTTTGGCACAGTTATTTAACTCTTATTTTATATTTATAGAAACCAATACAAATTTTCTTTTGTAAATATATATATAATTAACTTACATTTTTATATATATTTTAAAAAATCACCTGCAATGTAATATGTATACAAATATATATTAATTACATGCATTTAAGCAAAATTACAGATATATATGTTTACAAAAATTATATTAGAAGTAATTAAATTACAAATTTGTCAGTGAATATTATTGAACAGTGAATGAAATTATTAACAATAAAAAATATTATAATTAATTTAAAATTTTTATAATACTAATTTATATTATTTGAAAATATTTCATATTAATATATGATTTAATGTATATTGCATTAATTTTATTTAATAAGATTCAAAATAATAACTGTTTAGTAAAAAAAAATTAAAAATTATAATCTATATGATTGCAAAGATTAATATTTATAATTGTAAAGATTAATATTTAATATGTTAAAATACAACAATCACATTTTGTTTCAGAATTTGTTTAATTAAATTTAGAAAGAATATTTTCAGTTTAATATGTAATATTATTATATGATTTGAATTTCTAAATATCTGTATGCAAAAGGACTTAAGTGTTTTATTAGTTATTATACTTATTAATTAAATCCAATAGATATTTATATCAAATAGATGTTCAAATTTATTTGTCTATGATAACTGCAAATATTACTAATTTACCTATGTGTAATTTTTTTTACATATATATGTACATAGGTCTTTGCTATTCAAAAACTAGCTTATAATATATTTATGTAAATTTAATTATGTTATACTGATGTTTTGCTATATATTTTTACATCATACAAAAACATTACTTGTAAAAAGCCATTCTTTTATAAAGAATATATATAGTAAAAAATTTTTTCGAAATTATTCTTAATTATAATACATTTTTAACAAGATATAAAATAGCAAATACAACTTACAAATATTGCAAAAAAATTCTTGGAATATAATAATATTTTATAATATCTTTTTCCAATTAATTTAATTCAAAATTTAGTTAGTTTTTCTCTCATTCACATATATCATATATATTATATATCCATTATATAATGTTTATATATTTCATTATTAAATTTTCATAAATCAGTGATAATCATTGACAATATCATATTTTTTATAAAAATCTTATAATTTTCTTTTTATTGTATGAAAAACAAAATATTTATTATGTTATATGGCACATTTCATTTTATAATTTTTGGAATATGCACTTATCAATTCCAATTATATTTAAAAATTGTTAAATAAAAATAACATAATTTAATAAAAATTATATGAAAACAAATATAAAAGATTATAAACAATAATTAATCTGATTTAAATAAAACTGTATGTTTTAATAATCACAGGTCTGTTACAGGTCTGATTGTATGAAAAACAAATTAAAATAATTATTGTGAAATTAAAAGAATTAACTCCGACTAATTAAATAATATGTATAAACATTATTTAATGTCATTAAAAATACATTGTGCTAATTTTTTGGTAATAGATTAGCAATTAATATAATTAAAATAATTAAAATCAAATATAATTTATATTAAAATCTATTATTTCAAATGTACAGATAAACAATGTATAAATATTTGAATAGTAAAACAAATATGACACGATTCATTTTTCAAATAATATCATTCACAATATCAAACAGACCTTTTTTTAAAAATCTGAAGGAATGTAGAAGTATTTAATATGTTTTTTATGAAAATAAAAGTTTTAACGTATTGCAATGAAAATATTAAATGATTTGAGTATATTAAATACAAATACTTACTCCTAAATTAAAAACTGTATTGTAAATACAGTTTTATAAAGAAACTATAAGATTTTTAATGATATCTTAGTAATAAGTTGGTACTTTCTATAAGACGTCCAGTACCCTGTCCCTAAATATTTTATTAGCACTTTTTTGTGTATTTGACTTCATATGGCACAAATACAAACATGTCACATATATTTTTTGTGCCTTATATAAAATACTTTGATGAAAGATATTTTAATAAGTATCCAGTCAATGATATTAACTTTTAAATTTTTTACTGCATTAAGTCACAATCAAACATCAACTACGTCATTATTGTAATTGAAATTTGAATCACGTAAAAATGAAGTACGTCGAAGTTTAAAATTTATTCGGTTTTCTTCAACCGTTTTCGGCGCTTCCATTACCTAAAAATATAACAATTCCATAGAATTATATTTTACACAAAATAATATTTCAAAGTAACAATGTTTTTGTGTTATATCAAAACAAATAAAATTTTTTTGAAAAAGTTTTGAAAAAAAACTGTAATTATCGATTCATGTTCAATGGATTTCAAGCGCAAAACAATTTGTTTAAGCTCTTGATAAAGGTTTTAGGTATGAATTTTAAATGCATTTTTTTTGGAAATTACATCAAGTGATTAAAAAAAAAAGACATCACGTAAGGTACCTTGATATCTGGTTGGTTGATAGAACGTTGAAGCACCGACCTCCATGCTGCAGGTGCGGTATGCTCTAAAATAATATATACAGCAAGGCTTCTTAATTTAAGGATTCACATGCATATTTACAATATACTTGGGATTAATAAGGAAATTATACATAATTAAAATTTATGCGTGAATAGAGTAGTACTAAATACATTGAGCATGCAATAAAAAAACGCATTTTTAGCTTACCATTCTCTTTCCTTTCTGTTTTATTTTTGTTTAAACTAGCTGCCAATTCTCTGACTGATCTTTTCTCTATACTTGCATTGCTTAAAGAACTAGCAGTACTACTTGTTGATAATGTCGGTGGTAAAGAAGCAGGACCACTTACACCACTATCTGTTGATTCATCAAGAGCATCTCCAGAATCAGGTGTATTTCCAGCTGAAGTATTTGGACTAGAACCATCGCTTAATAAATTAAATTCACCTAAAAATTAAATAAATCATATATATCATAAACAATTTTTTATTAAATGATTTATTTTTTTCATACCAGATTTTCTATCAGTGGCCATACTCCAAGGTCTTGGTTTTGGAGCTGTTATAGGCGGAATGGATTTAGTTTTTGAAAGACCGTTGTTTTTATTATCTGTCGTCGAACTATTTCCTTTGGTTAAAGATCTTAATACTGGAGATTTCGATGCCTCTGAATTATTTTTCATACTGCTACAATTTGTGGGACTACGAAGATCAAAACCAGTCGATCTTAATTTAAGAGAAGGCAAAGGTTGATTTACAGTCTTATCTATTTCTACTATAGATTTTTTTGTTAAACTTTTTCTATTTTCGTGATCCTTAGGAACAATCATATCTTTATCTGAAGAATTTGTAGCAAATGTTTGTTGTAACATTTTATTTTCATCTGAATCCCGTAAACTACGAGTACTTGCACAAGATCCAGTTGGTAATGTACTACGTTTAGATGTATCAGCAGAATTATTAATGCAATTATTATATATGTTACTATTTGTATCTTTATTACTATCAGATTTTGCAACAATTCTTTCATGATTTTGAGCATTATCAGTTGTATTTCTTCGAGTTAATGGAGATGCAGTTAATGGTGAATCACCTTGAGATCTTCTCCCAACAAGAGGAGAGAATTTTTCTAAATTATCACTAGATCGTGATCGTGGTGTTGGTTCAAGAAGAGTTTTTAACATCGGAGAACTACAACCAGGTTTTTTATCTGCTTCAGGTGGAATACTTTTATGACTTGTAAGAGATAAATTTGGACTGCCATCAGTTGGAAAAGTATGCAAAGAACTAAAGTAAAAGATAAAAAAATTATATATATAATTTTCACCAAAAAAATGTTAAGTTATTTTTTTACAAAATACCTATCATCACTCGTAGGAGATATAAGAGGTGTTGTTGGTGTTGTTGGTCTGAAAAAGACATCAAGGCCTTCACCAAGAGCAAGACCATCCATTGGTTGATCAGGTCTTAGCATTGGTCTTGTAGGTGCTCTAGTTTTTGTTCTACGAGGTCTAGATTTTACTAAATGTTGGAGTTGCTGTCCCACAGTATTAGGTAATTCAGAAACAGAATCTAATGATTCTGTTAAAGAATGTTCTGTTTCTGAAATAGCTAAAAGAATATATTGATCTTAGAAATAATAAATTTATTAATTAATTAATTAAAAATTAATTTTTTATA